AATTTATAATTTAAAAGTTTATTCTATTTTGATATTTATTAATAATTTACACAAATTTATTATAAAATGTTTAGCTCAAAGAATGCCTCATAAAAACTCAAGGTAAAAAGCAAGTGTCTTAAATCAAAAAGATTAGTTGTCTTTAATATTCATTTCTTTTGATAAGCAACTTGTGAAAAAAGGATGAATAAATATAAAATGTTTGAATAATATTATATATTTTATTATAAAATATTTTGAAAAGGTGTTTTTAACCTAAAATATAAATAGATAGATTTTATTATTGATTTTATATTTATAAATATCATTAAAAATGATACTATGAGAACACGAACCCAGTGACTGATTCTCATTAGTGTCATTTGTTTATGATAAAATATCAATTTCTTAAAGTTAGTTTTTAAAACTGAAATCTATCTAGTGTTAATAAAGCAATACATTTATATATTCATTTCAATTTTTAAAATTAAAATTAATTTTAATAATATTTGTTAAATTTATACTTATTTTATTGATATTTGAAAAAAATGAAGTATTCTCCATCAATTTAGATTAATTTTAAAAAATAGATATTAATAAATGGTCATACCTCAAACCATTTACCTAATCAGGAGAACTGGAAGTTAAAGCTAATGAGGTAAGAGTATTTTAGAACTATATTGCAAAAATAATATGAAATTAAAAATATTACTAAAATAGTAAGTAAATTAGATAAATCCTTTAAGATAAGTACTTGCATCACACCTTAATTTATACATTTATTTATTTTGAATTATGAAAAAGATACATACATAATCAGACTTCTTCTTTCACTTATATATTTTATTGAGAAATGTCTATCCCTTATATTTATTTTTATAGGGAGAGAGAATTCTGTACAAATAAACAATTTTATTCATAAAAACAAAAGGAAATTATTAATTAATAATAATAAAGAAGAATACAAAAGAATAAAGAAAGGTTTACAAATGGATAACTTATAACTTAGTGAATTATCTAATTAAAATTGCATTTTTCATCCAGATAAAAAGATCACTTTTATACAAGTAATTGGAGTGTCTAATTAACCTAACGCAAACATATTTCTCTGCGATTAATGCTTCGACTAGGATTTAGACTTAAAAGGAGTTAACTACATGACTATCTCTCAAATCATTGAAAAAGCAGAAACAGAATTCCAATTTAAATGGCCTCCTCTCAAAGATTAATCACTAATCAAAATGTTGCAATTGAAATCTTAGAATATTGTATCTACAGACAAGATTTTAGACTAAATCAACAGCTTTTTCGCCCATTTCAAGGATGAAATCATTAAAAAAATAGATTTCAATCAGAAGATAATGATTAATCATGTTTTGGATCTTCCTTTCAATAAAGAGCAAATCATGAAAAAGTATTAGCAAATATCTTAAATTCTAAGCTTAAGGAATTTACTTTTAGAGAATTAGAAAGAGTCCTTTGACAAACATCAACAGAAGTGTAAAGACTTTATTTATTCTTTTGAAACTAAAAAAGAAAGCAATACAAAATAAATTGAGGAATTACTTAAACAATGCGATTAAATAGAATATATAATTGATTTTGACTATCTAAACGCACTAAAGTAGCAAGTTTTAGATTTTGTAGATGAAATTAAATTGAATGAAAATAAAGATTTTCTTGGCTAATAAAAATCTATTTAAAGTCAAATTAGCGATAATTAACAAAGTATAAATAATAACAATAATGCAGAAAAATTGATGTAATTAATTTCTAATAAATCAAATTATTGTAACGAAGCATTTTTGGAATCTGCGAGAAAAGAATTAACTAAATTAAATCAATTGCTAAGTAAAATTTAGTTTGATAATATTTTCAAAGAAAATAAACAACCAATACAATTTTCTTAAATAAATGATGAAAAATTATAAAGTATTAATGAATATGTAGAAAATTTGATCAAATTGGAAAATGATCAAAATTATTTACAGTAAATTTAATAGTCAGAAAATTTAACCAGAATAATAAATATTTTAAATAGCAAATTGAACTTTGTAAATGAAAATTTCAAAAAATAATTTGTAAATTACTTAGTAGAAACATAAGTCTTCTAAAAGTAAATTAATTTTAGCTAGTTGCACAGTGATGTTTAAAAATTAGAATGCTTGAAAAAACTAAATTCTGATTAAATAATTGTTATTTGTGAAATTATTTAAAAATAATAATTTGATGAAAATGATTTAGATAGGTATTCTTAATAATTTCCACTTTTTCAACTTTTGAAATGTAAGAAAAAAGATATTTTAAATTAAATTTTATTTGAAAAAAGTGAATTAGAAGATGGCAAATAAAAGATATAAATTAAATAAAATAATTATAAATAATTTGAAATTTATATAGATGAATCTAATTATTCTGGGAATTGTAAAGCAAAAGAAACAAATTGTGTTTCATAAATGATATTATAACCTAAAAAAAAATACATTTTTAGAATCTAATTATAAACTAAAGATTCTAATGCTTATTATATACTTGGGCTCATGTAAAATTAACAAAAGAATAATTTATTGGGGAGCAATTAAAATTTAAGTTGTTATTTTGAACTAAAAGATGAAAAAATCAAGTATTATAATGATAGGGGTATATCTAAATTTATAAAAGGCAATGAATTTTGCATGAGTAAAGATGATATGATAGAATTGAGAGTTTGGTAGGATGGTAAGTTGTTGCAGATTTTAGATTATCCAAATAAAAATTATAAAATAGAACTTAGAGATGACATGAAAGATAAATTTACAGAATTAAAAGATCTCTCATTATATTTTTGGTTAGCGAATAATTTAGATAAAAATATTTTAAGAGAAGCCTTTATTGTAGATGAATTTGAAGATTGAGTTCTTTTTTTAATTTAAAAAAAATTATTTTATAAAATCAAATTATTCTAAAATGAATATATGATAGATATTCTTAAAAAACAATAAAATTGATTTAAGTAATAATTAAATGTTATTTATTTCTTGTAGAAAAATTAGCTTTATTTTTTATAAATTTGAAATTACTTTCTTTATGTATAATTTGTGCAACTGAGCTTAATCCAATTTTAAAAAACAAAAATAAAAATCCTATACCATTTGAGATATATCTTTAATAGAAAATATCTAATAATATATATAAAATAAATTAATTGAATTTATATTCTATTATTTCTTTTAATTAAAATATATTAATAAATATTTTTAAGACAAAAATCATTTTTAATTTTTCACAAAAAATTAAATAAAAGGCCTTTCTTTTTAATAAAATCACAGGTAGATCTATCAGATAAATTCTGACAAATTAAAATAAAAAAAGCAAGAAGGCTAACTACTTAGCTTTCAAATTTCAATACCTGGATTAGCAATACATAAAATCATATTGATTTTATTTATTTACAAATTAAGAAAAGTAAAAATATGATTTAGAATAAAAATTAGATAACTATGTAATTTAATACAATTAATTACCTAAAATCAAGTGTTAATTCAGTGTTGTTATTTAGAATTTTACTTTGCTTAAGCCATTCAAAATAAAAATTCAATTATTATGCATATAACTTAAAATCTAATTTGAATTAGAGAGCTTGTACTTTTCTCAAATTTGATCTAAGAAAAGTAAATTATGGATCATTTAATAAGCTATAATCTCTAAACTCACTATGATATTTTATTTAATAAAATAAAATAATTTAATAAATATGTCTTTGAGCAATAAATAAATAAATAATCAAAAATTTATCATAAAACATTTAAAATTTATAAAATTTAATTAATTATTGAATTAAATTAACCAAATAATTTTACATTCTTAAAGTTAAAGATCCTTCCAGCTCAATTCATTTTTATCTTCACCAAATATTTCAATATTCAAATTTGTAATTTCTTCAAAATTCTTCTCATTTTCATGCAAGCTTTATTTTAATTTAATAATAACTAAAATTAAATATTGACAAAAAAAAATTATTTAAAATAAATAAATTTAAATTTCTTTATAAGTAAAAGGATTTTAATTAAAATAATTACTTTTTTAGATAGATCATAATATATTATATTAGAAAAATTGAGCTAAGAATTAAGTGATTCAACCTCTTCATTGAATTTTTTCAAAGAACCTATATATTTTAGACTTATTTTTTTGCTTTAAAAGTATGTTATGAAATTAAGTGAGCTCATTGTTTCTTTTTGATTTTAAGATGTCTCAATATTTGGTTAATTTTTATTTTCTTTGTAATTCTTAAAAATTGTTTTTTCAATAAGACTTATTGATTAAATTATTTGTTTTTTTTTGTATCTAATTTCTTCTTCTTCATTAAAAAACTAATAATTTTTTATATTATTTCTTTTCAGATATTTTTAATAGTCATTAAGTTTTTTGTAATAAACATATTCTTTATATGGCAATTAGTTATTATTATCTTCTATTTAATTTATATATTTTTTTTCTAAATTATCTAAAATATCCTTGCATTAATCAAAGCTACAAATATTTTATAGCTTTATAAATATTGAATATAATTACCAAATACTTTTATCAAATTAAATTTATAAATTTGATTTTAGCTTAACATCATTAAAGCAGTTCAAAATAATTAATAGCAAGAGTTAAATTTCTTTTTCATATTTAACATATGATTTAATGTCTAGCTATTCGCCTCTTTAAAAAAGAAATTTGTAAAGATATAAGCCCATTTCTTTCAGTAATTTTTATTTGTAATAAGAAATCTGATTCGTTTTATCATTTTGAATAAATTAAATTAAATTGTAAAGAGATTAGTCATAACAATTTTATTTTCTTAAATACCTAATCAATTTGATAATTATCCTATAAACTATATCAAATTCCTTCTAGTTTGAACTTATTTTTTTAGAGAATCATCAAAATCACTAATGATTGGATATATATCATTTGATTTTAGCAATAGAAGCTCTATTATCTTTATTTTTAATTTATCAAATTCTTCACCTTTATTAACTAATTTAATTAATTCAATCAGTTTATTTTAATTCTTTTAAGATAATTTTGTCTTATTATTTAGCTAGCTTTATTAAGATCTTAGTTACAATTCTAATTGATTTTATTAGGATTTCTGACTAACTATTATCTTTAAAATCTTCTCTAAAAATTTCATTAATACATTCGAGAGATTCTTTATATTCTTTTCTTTTACATAAAATATAACTTTTAGTTATCAGTGCCTTAATTTTAATCGAAGTGTTATCTTACCTTAAATATTAAATAATCAAAATAGCTATTTCAGCATATTAATATTATGATTCATACTGAAATACTTTATTTTCTTTTTTGATGACTAAGTAATGCTCTATCTATTTTAAATATTCCTCTAAGAATGTCTTAATTACTTTATCATTAGTAAATTTCATTAAAATATTTACAAATTTTCTTGGGAATTTAAAGCAATCTACCTACTTTAATAGAATTTTCATCATCTTTACAAATTTCTTCATCAAAAAATTCATTTAAACATTTAGAAATTTCTGATTGATTTTCTAATTACATTAATAACTTTTGGATAGTTTACCAAAAGAATAGATATCATGATAAAAAGGTAAATTTTTCTCTCTTTTTTTTGGTTTAAAATCAGGTGTATACATTTCATAATCACAAAAAGGATCAATAAAATCAACTTACTATGAAGCACCAAAATCAGATAATTAGTAATTATTATCATCAATTTTTAAGATATTTCCTGGTTTAATATCTGAATGATAAATATACTTCTATCTAAGTACAATCAATAAATGAAATGCCGTAGAAATAAATTTTAAAGTTTCTCTAAGTCTAAAAACTTTTTTTTAATGATGTATTTTATCATAGAGACTCATTTAACATTTTTACATAGAGTAAATGATAACTTAGTTTTCTATTAGATAAGAACTATTTATATTTAAAATATTTTATTCTTATAATTCCTAAAATCTTTATAATTCTTATTCTTATTTCCTTAAATCCTTGTCTTCATTTAATTTAATTACTCTATATACTATATTATCATCATTTTGATTTGTAAATATATCTGCCTCCCCTCCACTGTTAATATGATCGCCTAATTTAATAATTTATCTTAAAAATTTCTCAGCATTTTTTTAAAGATTTTTTTTTGTTGAATTGGTTAGTTTTTTTTACTTTCTTCATTTTACTCTTTGGTACAAATAATTTGTTTGAGGGTTTAATATCTCTCAACACCTTCTTATCCAAATTCAGGAGATATATATGATTTAGTTATGTAAATGCCTTCTGCTTAAAGGCTATTTTCTCTTTTATTCATCTAAAATTTATTATTCGTTGATATGATTTGTTGAATTGGTTAGTTTTTTTTACTTTCTTCATTTTACTCTTTGGTACAAATAATTTGTTTGAGGGTTTAATATCTACCAGACTGAGGAGTTGTTTATTAGGTAATTGTACTGCTTTAAGGCTATTTTCCCTTTTATTCATTTAAAATTTATTATTCTTCCATTTTGAAACTTTAATCGTATTTTTGGATTATTTCTATATAATAGGGCAAATTATTAAAAAATTAATTTAGTCCCTTATTTATTAATTCATCATATTCTGCTTATTGAGTATTAGAATAATTTTGTTCATTTTAATTTTCATTAAATTCAACTTTAATTTTGTTCACCTCTACATTTGTATTTATTAACGAGCTAATCTCTTTTCTATCATTCTTAGGGATTATTTTTTAATCGCTATCAAGATTTTTAGATTTTTACTACCTCCAAATAATTATGATTTATTTTTGTTAGTTATTTCATTTTCTTTTTCAAAAATTTTAATAATTCTTGCTTTTTATCCAATTAAAAGATCATTTCTTAACTTATTTAGTTTTGGTTAGGATAATTTATTTATGATGTACTTATTTTGTTGAATGATTAATTTTTTATCATTGTCTTTATTAATTGGTTATTATTAATCAAAGGAGAATTATAAATTAGTTTTAGAAACTGCCTTACTACTAACTTATCTTGCTGCTTTAAGAAAACTAAAGATTTTAAAAAAATTTGAAAATAAATACAATTAAATATAAGTGGGAATAATATTTATTTTTATGCTGTATATTAATTATTGATTTTAATTTATTATCTCCAGTTTATTTATTTAAATTTTAAGTTGATTTTAATAAGTTAAAATTAAAGTTTTTTGTTGAAATAATTAGTTAAAGTTGAGGATTTACTTGTAATCTTAAGGATTGAATTTTTAAAAAAAATGTATTTCAAATTCTCTTAAACAAAAAAACTTATTATTTTTAAAAACTTAATTTTTTTTTTTTAAAAATTTTGATGTAAAAAAATACTTTATTTTTAAAATTATAATAAATTAAATTATTAATTAATTATAATTCTATTAAAAAAATATAAATATAAATCAGATTTTTTAATAAATAAATAAATAAAAAATATTTTTCATTATTAGTGGCATGCAAACCATGAAATTTTTGTATGACATCTTTCTATAATTAGAGATATTATAAATATTCCTAAAATTACAGAGCTAAAACAGAAAAATCTACAAACAACATTATTTTTATAATATTTAAGAACATTAACTACTAGATTTTTTTCAAATATGACTAAATAAATAACTGGCCATCTCTAATTCCTACTATATATATTTTTAAGTATATCTTTTAAATACAGATACTGAGTTTAAATAGTGAATGCTAAATAAATTTTTCTTTGATATCTCTTCATAAAACCAAATATATAAATTAATATTGATAATTAATTAATTATTATATTTATTTGTTCTTTTTAACCATTTATTATTTATTAATTAAATTTCATAAATTGCTATTCAATATTTTTGAAAAAAAAAATAAATGATATAATAGATTAAATATTATAACAGATTAGAAGAAGTAATTATTAATTTTTTTATTAACAACCTTTAAATTTATATAAATTAATAAAAAAAGTTTAAAAGCTCTTCACTTTTATATCATTAGGTTCTCCATATTGATCTCTAGTATATTTTATTAATTATTTTTATTTTTATTTTTTATATATTTAAATTTATTTAATTAAATAATTTTTATTATAGAAATTATCATCATTATTTATTGGTTTTTGTTAAAACTAAAATTTTTTATATTTTAACTTAATTTTCATTTTTTCCTTCTAATAAACTATTTAATGATATATTTTTTCTTCAATATTTAAAAAGTAACAATTAAATTGGTGATGAATTTGCATCAGTCTTAGGTTCTGATTTAGCAAAGTGCATTAATCTCTCAAATTTAACACTTGAACTTGAGTAAAAACAGTTGATTTGTTTTGGATTGTGATATTTTTAATTATAAAAACTAATAAAAAACAATAAAGCTCTTTTTTGTTTTTCTTTTTATTGTGCTTGCTTTTTTTTGTTCTTTCTTTCTTTGTTAATTTAGCTCATCATTTTATTTTCAACTTTTGCTTTTATTATTTATTTCTTATTATTTCATATTTTTTCTTCATTTTTTCCTTCTAATTAACTATTTAATGATATATTTTTTCTTCAATATTTAAAAAGTAGAAATTAAATTGGTGATGAAGGTACATCAGTCTTAGGTTCTTCTTTAGCAAATTGCATTAATCTCTCAAATTTGACACTTAACCTTGCGTAAAAACAGTTTATTTGTTTTGGATTGTGATATTTTAATTATAAAAACTAATTAAAAACAATAAAGCTCATTTTTCTTTTTCTTTTTATTGTGCTTGCTTTTTTTGTTCTTTCTTTCTTTGTTAATTTAGCTCATCATTTTATTTTCAACTTTTGCTTTTATTATTTATTTCTTATTATTTCATATCTTTTCTTCATTTTTTCCTTCTAATTAACTATTTAATGATATATTTTTTCTTCACTATTAAAAAAGGTCTAATTAAATTGGTGCAATGGGTGCATCAGGCTTAGGTTCTGCTTTAGCAAATTGCATTAATCTCTCAAATTTGACACTTGACCTTGAGTAAAAACAGTTTATTTGTTTTGGATTGTGATATTTTAATTATAAAAACTAATTAAAAACAATAAAGCTCTTTTTTCTTTTTCTTTTTATTGTGCTTGCTTTTTTTTTGTTTTTTCTTTGTTAATTTAGCTCATCATTTTATTTTCAACTTTTGCTTTTATTATATATT